GCCCCCGCCCCGCGACCAGACGCTCGCAAAGGGCGCACCCTCAGGCCGGCACCACGCTGCGGCCCCTCTGCTCCCCTCCTCCCCGCGCCACCTCCGGCCTCAGGCCCGGATCCTGTTCCGCAGCTCGCGCTCACCGGCAACTCCGGTTCGTGTAACGGCTCCTCCCGCCAGCCGGCTGCTCCCGCCGATACCTCAACCCACTAGAACTTTCTTCGGCTTCCGCTTCCGGGTCACCTCAAGAGCCGCTTTAAAAAACTCAAATTGGGCACTTCTAGCCGCGTACAACCATAGAGGTGAGGCGCCCGGACCTCCACGTTGCCCATAGCAGATGCTGCTTTCCGGTCGCTGCGCGGGGAACACCGCGGCCTCCTTGGTCTCGGTCCTCGGCAGCATTTCCGGCCGCAGGAAGCCCCGGCCTCAGAGGGGAAAATTGCTGCCGGCTGCCGGGGACCCGGAACTCAAGGATTCGGCTGTAACCGACCTGGCGGTGGGAAGAATTAAAGAGACGGACAAGCGGGGGCGGGTGGCCGGAAGGCTGCGAGACGGCGCCGGAAGCCGGGCTCGGGCGGGGACCACCTGGGCTTTTTCCCGGCGGCTTGTGGCGCGGGCGTGGACGGGCGCTCCAGACACTTAAGTCCGAGCCTCTGGACCCAGTCGCGCAGTGAGTCGTGGGCAAGTGGCTCTCCACGTCGAGCCTGGAAAGCTGGGTCGTCCTGGCAGCGCCCGCGTGAGACGACGGCCACCGAGTAAGTGCGGGTCTTCTGCGAGCGTCTTTCCTCGGAGTTGGGGAAGGGGCGGCAGGAGACGCCGCTGACGTTGACACTAGCAGTTTCCTCGGGACCACCTGTCCTGGTGCCGCCAAGCTTGACCTCCTTGGGCCTTAAGTCAGAATGTAGCCGACGCCGCCTGAGCCCCAGCGACGGGCTCCGTGCCATGCGGGTGTGCTGCAGTCGCGTTTCCCTCACGCCCGCCGCCGCGGGGCCGGGACGAGTTTTCTCTAGACCTGTTTGCTGTTGGGACCCCACCAGCGCTGGCGATGAACGTGCGCTCTGTGTGCCACGCATGGCCAAATGCTGTGCTCGCGTTATCTCACTCGTAAGGACGCTCAGAGCTAGCTGTTCTCTTCCTGAGGCCTAGAGAAGTTGGCCAGCTGGGGAACAAGCTCAGGTAGGGATTCAGGCGATTAGATGTCAAGTGTTAGGGTGCAGATGGGGGGCTCCTGTGCTCCCAAACTTGGCTTTCAAAAAGTGCAAGGCAGGGTAACAGCTGCCATTGTCCCCCCACCTTTCTCTCACCCGCATGTCTCAAGTGTGATGTTTCACCTGTTGGTCTCCTCCTGTGTTCGCCAAGTCCCTGGTGCAAGTCAAAAGCAGAGGCAAAAGGACCGTCTCCTTGTGTGTCTCCCGTGAGCCCCCTGCTTTCCCTGTTATAAAACTTCAGCTAGGCACCTCCCCTTTTTATGGAGATGCCTGTTACAAAAGCCTAGATTCTTTTTTTGTTTTAAGATTTATGCATACAGAAGTGGGGTACAGACCAGAGGTGCATGGGTAGTGAGAGGATTCACCAGAGACAGAATGGGGAGCAGAACAGGCTGATCGGCGAAGTCCACTGCTGAGGGGGGCAGCGGGCGGCTCAGAAGAGGTCTGCCGCGCCATGTGGGTCACCTCTGGGGTGGGGATCGAAGTCATGCTGAAGTGGCTTTAGCTTCTTAGTGCTGTGCTGTAACCCGCTGCGCCCCCAAAAGCCCAGATTCTTAACCTGCACACTGTCTCTCCTCAGTCAGAGGCCTTGGAAACAGACCTGGGGACTCAGCCCACCCTCTAAGAAACCCGAGGAGGAGCCATCCATCTCCACTTCCCTCACAGCCCTGGGACACCATCCAGCATGTCACAGGCCACCAAGAGGAAGCATGTGGTGAAAGAGGTGCTGGGGGAGCACATGGTGCCCTCTGACCAGCAGCAGATTGTGAGGGTGAGTAGCGCAGGCACAGCGGCTCTGCTTCCACATCCCTCCTCTCCTGTGGGGCCCTGGCACAGTGTAGCTGGGGCCTGTTTGAGCTGGCTGACAGGTGTGTACTGGACCAGGTACTCAGGACCCCCGGGAACAACCTGCACGAGGTGGAGACAGCGCAGGGGCAGCGCTTCCTGGTGAGCATGCCCTCCAAGTACCGGAAGAGCATCTGGATCAAGAGAGGTGAGGGAGGCGCTGCTCCAGGGACTCGGCTGTGTCCTGGGGCCTTCACAGCTGACCGCGCCTTTTCTCTCCCCACAGGGGACTTCCTCATCGTTGACCCCATCGAAGAAGGAGAGAAGGTGAAGGCTGAGATCTGCTTTGTGCTCTGCAAGGACCACGTGCGCGCTCTGCAGAAGGATGGGCTCTGGTACGGTCCCCTTGTTCGTTGGCTGCCTGGCTTCTGTGGGGTTGACCTGGCTATGGAAGTGGGGACAGGACGGTCGTGGCGTCCCCGCTAGGGACAGCTGGGAAACAGCTGTTGGGCTCGTGGTTTTGCCATCCCCTCTGACCCGGGCTCTTCTCTTGCACAGGCCTGAAGCTTTCTCCGGGGTGGTTGAGAAACACAACAGCAACAGGAACAGGTGAGGAATGAGCCTTGGGACGGGGAGCTAGAAAATAGAGGTTCAGGCTTTGGCGTCCTGAGAGGAGGAGGAGCTTTTCTCCGTGCAGAGGGTCTCGGCACGATGCCTCAGTAGTTGTGATGGTGACGTGGTTGTGACGGTGGCTGGAAAATGCTCCAGGTTGCTTTGCCATTGAAAAACTGGAGCATAGGGGTGGGGCATAGTCTCAGCCTGTCTTCTCTGACCAGCACCCCCACACACACTTGCTCTGACTTTTTCCTGTCAGAATTGCTGAGCCTAACTGCTGAGCCATGTGGGCCTTTGTCTGGGGTTTCTTTGGTGGCAGATCTTGGAGAGCTGGGTCAGCATTTTCCTTCCCCCACACAGACAGACTCAGCCAGAGCTCCCGGCAGAGCCCCAGTCGTCAGGAGAAGAGTCCAGCTCTGAAGACGACTCTGACCTGTTCGTTAACACCAACCGCAGACAGTATCAGGAGAGTGAGGAGGAGAGCGAAGAGGAGGAGGCAGCCTGAGGCCCTGGACCCCACCTCTCTTGCTCAAAGACTAGCTTGTGGCTCCTCTGAGCTTGGACATTCCCAGGGTGCTCTGCCACCCTTCCCCCTGGATGGGGACAAGGCGGGGCACCTGCGAACTGGCCTGACCTAGGAGAATTAAACCCCTGGTGGGTGGAGACTAGTGCTAGTGTCTCGTGGCTCTCTGGAGGGGGAGGGGCTTGTGCTGCAGTTTCCCGCCGCTCCGCGGTGCTCTGCACTGGGCACTTGGAAGTGCTGGGCCTTGCGGTGCCTCCTTGCTGTCTAATACCTGGGAGCGCTCTCAGTTCACGGCTGGCTTGTTGTCAACAGTCAGGACCACAGCGTGGCCTTCATGCCCTCCTCTAGGGGACACTCGGAGGCCGCCGGTGTCCAGGCTGCTGTTCACGTTCCCTGGGTGGCACGCAGGCCCTCAGCCCTCAGCCCTCCCCACCCCACAGCTTCCCGCGTTTTGAAGCTGCTGCCTCCGGCGGTCCCTCCCTCCTTATGGCTGGCCTTGACCCAGTTGCTGCTCGCCTTGGAGCTCACCCTCTGCCTGGGGGCTTCTCCCCACTTGTGGCATCACACTTTGCAGTGGGGAAAAGCGTTTCTGTTTACGTGGCGCTGTCCACCTCCCGTGAGCGAGCCGCAGTGCCTGCTCCAGACCTGCTCCCCGCATCCTGAATCACTGCGTCTCCGTCTCCTGACCTTGCCAGACTCTTGGCGCCTTTCGGATTCTGAGGCCTGACCCCCCCGGCCTGGCTTCCTCGCACAGCCAGCCCTCCAGTTCCCCTTCTCCCTCCAACGCAGCCCTCCCACGGACGCCGCTGGCCTTGGTGCCTCCCCGTGCACTCCCTCCACTGTCCACACCCTCCACCCCACCTCCTCGTGGTGGTCACCTGGTGCAGGCCTTACGCTAGGCCTAGCCGGTCACCCCTTTGCCTGTGTGTCAGTAACTTCAAGAAAACGGCCAACCTGGCCCTCTAGCCTCATCTGCAGCCGCTGACGCAGACCTGCCGCGGACTGGGCTCCGCCGTGGACTGGGCTCCGCCGTGCAGTCCTCTGGGGTGTCCTGTCCACACCTGCTCTCAGCTGCCAGTTCTCTTCCTCTGTTGTCACCACAGCTGTAGGTCAGGAAAGAAGTGCTGTGGGGGCCCGTCCCTGCCCCCCTTGACCAGTCCTACAGATACACTCATGGAGCCGCCTGGCCTGGCCTCATGTATCCGGCAGACTAAGCTTGCTCGTGTTTGTGCGGCCGGTGTCCTCCGGCGTCAGCTTTCCAGAGTTCCTGTTACCACCCTCTGTGGAGGCTCACAAGTGCTGCAGATGCTCACATCCGGCCAGAAACACCCACCACTTAGCCCCACATCCTCTGACCTCATTCACACTCATGCTTCTTAGTGTCGCTTTCTATACGTCAGTGTATATGTGCGCGTGTATTTAAAACTATGCGTACAAAAAGGGAAACTTGAAGATACCTGTGTATATCTTTAACTCATCCTGTTTATTTTCTGTAGAGATAGCTAATTTTTCCTAATAGGATAGCCCTACTGAATGAGTCATTCCTATTCAGATATCTTTTAAAAATAAACTCGATTTCTGCCTACCTATAGATCTTTTGAACACTTGAGTTTCTGACCTGCCCACCGGTCTGTGAAGCTCGGCTCCCTCACCCCTGACAGTCTCTTAGCTTCTCTTGTGAGAGAACTTTAGAGTGAATTTGACTAGTTTCTCTAAGAACTTGAGATAGTCAAGCACACATATTGAAAGTCCAGGTATAAGTCTTTGCTTCTGTTTCCGATTCTTGTGGATCACAGAGAACTCCGTGCAACCTGACTGGCTTGTGGATTGTGGGATGGCTGCTCGTTACGCGTCATGAAATTGCTGTCTCACTAGGGTTCAGGGAGAACCTTCCTTCACTCGATGTTTCCTCCTGTTGCAACGAGGGTTTCTTCCTTTATTCAAAGTCATGGAACACTGGCATCAGTAGAGACCATCAAAAGATGTTTTATTGTGCTGACTTACATCAGTTTTTCTAATGTTGAACCATCCTTGCATTTTAATACAAATATTGCTTGACTTTATAGTAAGTTTTAAAGAGATTTATGCACATACAACTGGGGTACAGGCCAGAGGTACAGGAGCAGTGAAGAGCAGAGACACAGTGGAGAGCAGAGCAGGCAGATAGTGAAGTCCACTGCTGAGGGGAGCAGCGGGCAAGATGAGAGTTCTGCTACTCCATGTGGGTCACCTCTGGGGGCATCAAACACAGAAGTGGCTGTGGCCAGCTTGCAGTGCTTCGCCCTAACCTGTTGTGCCTCCAGGGAGGGCCCAGTAATTATTTGTTTCTTTAGGATTTTTTGATGTAGCGCTGGACCACTCTGATACTTCTTATTTTAATGATCTCCTGTCCCATTTTGATAACAGCATTCTGTTCACCTTGTAAAATTTTTTTTACTATATTTTGTATGTCTAGAAGAACTGGGGTATAGACCAGAGGTGTGGGGGTGAGAGGATTCCACAGACAAGTGGGGAGCAGAACAGGCGGGTCTACTCAGGGGGCAGCGGGGAGACAGCAGAGATCTGCTGCACCATGTGGGTCACTCACTGGCCGGGGATCGAACTCGGGCCTCAATAGTGATAGTGCTGAGACTCAACCCCTAGGCCACCAGGGAGGCCCGGAAATAGGTTTGAACATGTAATCTCTTTGGACTTGAGTGACTCCGAGAAAAAAACTCCCCAAAGTTCAGAATTTGTTTTATGAAAACATCTCTTGTTGATACCTTCTGTAGGGTAGATCTCAGCCTTTAAGTTCTGTTGCATTTATCAACTCAGGTTTTCTATCCTTGAGTCAAGCTGGCAACTCAGACGGTTCTGGACGGTATTTCCTACACCGCGCGCTCGGGGCTGGCTGGCCTGCAGCTGGAGCGCGGCTCTGGGCAGGTGGCCCAGCGCGCCTGTGCGGGCTCCTGCATGTTTCTCGCCTCGCCTCTGCCCCACTTGCGCGTTCCCTCTGTCCGTAGAAGTGTTTTCTGCAGGAAGCTCGGGCTTACGCTGGGCCCTTAACGGTAGTGTTCCTCCTCCAGGCCAACGGGTCCATCTCGCCCAGGTCACTTGGCCTCCTGAGCAGGCCTGTGGCCAGCTGGTGGGGCGGTGGGGGGCAGGCTGGGCTGCGCTTGGTCCGCACGCTGCTCATGCCTCAGGCGGGGGAAGGCTCTTGCCCACCGGGGGGCCAGGCCCGCGCGGTGCGCTCTATCCTCCGACCAGTTTGCACGGCGGCTTTCTATTTTACTGCCTTTTCCTTCTGTTTCTTTGGGTCCTTTTGTTCAGCTCTAGCTTTTGGAGTTAATGTACATTGAGCTACCTTCAGTCTTGTTTTTGAAAATATTTCGGACTATAAATACTAAGTACTCCTCGGCTTTTTCCCAATGGATAAAGTGGGCGTGATTTTTTTTTGGGGTGGTGCACGCTTGTATTTGTAACTTGTACCTTCTCCAGCTCTCAGTGACTCAGCGATCTACTTAATAACCTCTTCTCTGCCCTGCCCCCTCCCAAAGAACTGTTTAATCTACACTCCGTCTTCTGCCAGTCACAGAGCTCCTGTGGGCTGTAGCCAAGAGCCTGGGGGAGGGGAGTCCGGCCTTCTGCGCCCCTTGTCATCTCCTGGAACGCAGGTCGCCTCTCTTCGCCCAGCCCAGGGCGAACAGCTCCCGAGAACGGACCCAGTGTTCGCACAGCCCATCTTCGCCGAGGCAGGGCCAGGCGTGAGCGGCCCGCCAGTCCTCACCCTCCGCAGTCACTTTGAGACGTGGCCTGCCGACTCGAGCCTGTCCCTTCGGGACCAAGCGCGCGGCCCAGTGCCCACGCCGCCAGGCTGGCCCCGCTCTCCTCCTTGCCACACCCGCCAGGGCCGGGCGCCGGTGCCCTCTGAGCCCGCCACGCGGTTTCTCCTTGGAGCAGGGCCGTGGCGATGTAGCCCGACGTGGTGCGGACACCAGGTGTTGCTGGACTCTCAGTCTGAGACTTGGGATCGGGCATGCAGGAGGCGGCGCCCAGGGGACGGGCAGGTTGGCCCCCCACTCGGTGGCTCGTCCCCCTGACCTGCCCAGTGGTGTCCTGCCCGCGGTCTGCTGTGGAGCCGTTTTCACGGGTGCAGCCACAGAGCTCTTGGGGCGGCGCCGTATGAGCCATCGGAACCTCGGTCTACACTGACCGAAGGTTCTGGCGGGCAGCCTGAGATCCTGGCTGCGGGCTGCGAGACAGGCCTCCGCGAGGCCCCTGCTCTCCCTCGCCTTCCCCTGCGTACCCCTCCCTCTCTGCCCTCCCGGCCCCCTGCTCTCCCCAGGGCCAGTTTGCAAACCAGCACAGAGATAGGGCTTACTTCACCTCCCCCTTGTCGGTTTTACAGAAGGCTTTGCCGGCCTCAGGTTGGCGAGCTCTTATGGTCCCTACAAGTGTCTGTGTTAGACTGGAATCTTGTGAATTTAAAACTCTTGGTAAAACTTACCTAAGACCGGCCGCGCCAGCCTTCCGGCGGCGGAGGGCTACACGCCAGCTCCGCCCGGCTCTGTCTGCGCCTGCGCCCGTCCGGTCGAGAAGCGGGTGGGCCGCGCTCAGCCCACTCGCCAAGGTCACGTCCTCTATGGCCACTTGTGCTTTCTTTTTCCTGTCGATCTCGGCAGGCGTTTCTTAGTCTCGTCAAGTACTGACTGATCGTGTCCTCCCTTCTCACTGCTCCCTTTCTTCTGTCTCCTGCTCTCCCTGTTTCTCCCCGACTTTCTCCTCCTGGGTCTCCTGGACTGTCTCGGCCAGTCTGGATGGATGCTTGACTCATTCATTTTGAGCTTAATGTCCTCCCCACCCCAAGCTCTCTGGGAAATTTTCAAATCTGAGAGAAGGTGAAAAAACTGTAAGCTGTGTGCCTTATAAGAACTAGCAGTAGTCTCTAATTTATAATCAATTGCCCGGTTCATTTCCCTCCACACAAGTGTCCTTTCCTTCAGTTCAGTGATTTTCTAAAGATGCGCAGGCTGGTTGCTGCGCGCCTGCGTTTGGCTCCGAGTTAGTAAAGGCAGCCGCGGGCTGCTCACTCTGAATTGCGTCTTCCTGGGCTCACAGCTCGATGGGGCAGCCCATGTTGCTGACCCGGCTAACCCGAGGTCTTCTCCTATAGAGGTGCCATTTCCAGCCGGCCCCGGTGGGCAGCTGGGGTGGACGCAGCGATGCAAGCAAGCCCCGGCCTCGAGTTTGCTCCCAGGCCCCGGAGGCGCGGCGGACCCCTTCTGTCTCCCCACTGCTCCCCTCAGCAGTGGACTTTTCGATCCACCTGTTCTCGCACCACGTGTCTGGTGAATCCTCTCCCTACCCCCTGTACCTCTGGCCTGTACCCCAATTCTGAATGTGTAAATAAATACTTTCTTTAAAAAAAGAGTACCATTTCCCCGTTTTAACTGCAGAAGCTGTGGGACCATCTAACCTGTTAAGGCTGAAGTTTCCCTCACTGCCGCAGCTCTGTGACTATTTGTGTCTAGCTGGGTTTGATTCCGTGTGAGAACGCACCCCCAGTTTATGATGGAGACAGTGCGGGCGTCCCTGCGATCTCGTCAATGCTTGCATGAGAAGAGCCCCCTCCCCTCCGGGTGGACTGCACCCTGGGTCAGCTGCATGACCTTGACCCTGGGAGGGCGAGCTCTGTCCAGTCTTCGCTCCTCCTCCAGGGACACTTACAGAAGCTACCAGCAGGGGTCACAGCAAGCATGTCCCACCACAAGGCAGCAACTAGCCTGAGGCCCAGCATCCGTGCACCCCCACCCAGAGGGGGCGCCTGAGGTGCAACAGCAAATTGCCAGTATGAGTTCCACATGCCCAGAAAATTCACTTACCAAGGTGTTACAGGACCACCTCCCGCCAGCACCCGGACGGATGGGCTTTGGCGCTTCCGAGCGCCAGATCCAGGGCGGGGCCTCACCCGAGCTCACTCGCTTCCTCCAGAAGGCAGGCTTCAGCCGGCTGGGGCCTCCCTGGTAGGACAGGCGGGGGTGAGAACTGGAACTGCATTCTACAGGGCCTAGTCTCCAGGGCCCGCCTCGCCCCTCCCGCGCCCCGTTACAGAGCCGCTGACGCTTTCAGGCCCCTCACTGGCCTGTTCCCTGAGTGTTTTCTGCTCGCATGCGGGTGTCTCCCGTAATTCAGCCTTTTGGCCTTCAGGTCAGGTCTACTAATGACCCTGTCCCCGTGTGGCCACTCCTAGCTGTGGGGCCTCTGGCAGGGAGGTCCTCCTCTTTCTGGGTTCCCCTTTGCAGTAGGAAGCTGACAAGGCCAGTGTTTCTGGCGGCTCGCCAGCCGTCTCCCCCACCCCCGAGGCAGAGTGTCCTTGCAGAGGACAATGCTGCTGCCCTCAGGGTCCCCACAGCAGGTGCCCACAGGCAGAAGGTCCGGGTGGGGCAGGCCGCCAGCGCTGTGTGGCAGGGCCGCGTTGCACAACCTCCCCGGGCTGGTGGCTCCCCGTGGGCTCCGCAGACTCCAGCAAGGTAGCACAGCGGGGAGGGGATGGGCACCCCACGGCCAGCCGGGGCCCTACCGAGGGCTGGCCTGCTCT